ACAATATATAATTAAATAGAATCGAAAGTAAATAAATTAAGCAATAAGGAGACCTAAAAATTAAAGAGAGAAAGTAAGGAAATATTATATTTTCTAGCAAAACTATTAATTTTTAAATATAATACTAATTTAACGAATATACTATTAATATATATTAATAATTATTATATAATTAGTACGGATTTTTAAATATATTTATAATTTTTATCCGAAAAATACCTTCCCCGGGTAACCTTCGAGTTAATTCTATTAGTAAATAAGAAAATAAAATTATTTATAAAGAATATAGAAATATTAGGCTTCTATATTTAGAATAAGAAAATTTTATTAATTAAAAAATATAAATAAAAATTTTATAAATAAGCGGATAAATAGAAAAGAAATCGTCTAAAAATATAAAAAGAAATTTAAGAATTAATATATTTAACCCTATTTATATATAAATATATCCTAGAGCAAATAAATTTAATATAAATATTATATAATGCTTTTTATATTTAGATTCTAGGACCGAAGGATATAACGTCTACTAAACCTAATATTAATTAATAATAGAGTAAAGGCCGAATAGGCTACGCAATAAATACTACTCGAAAATATACTAATATTATAGGAAAAAGCAAGAAAATCTACGCCGGGGGAGAAGGAGAAATAATTAAAAGAGGCAATAAGGAGGGAATAAATAGTAAAATAGTATATAAAAATAATGGAAATTATAAGGAAGAGAAAATACTTTAATACTATAGAGGTATAAATACAATTTAATAAAACTATACTACAATACTATATATAGCCTAATACGGATAAAAATTCCGCATTATACTACCTATTGAAGGTAATAAACTCCCTACTAATATAAACAAGAATTAGAAAAATAGGCCTACAAATATTCTTTTTTAAAAGAAAAATACTAAAAATAATAATACTATATTACTAATATAACGTAGGGAAGGAAATATTCGAATATTTAACATTAGAATACTAGGAAATAAAATAAATTTAATTTTAGGGCGAAGGTATACTTATATAACCAATAAATAAGGAAGAACTTTATAATAAATTTGAAATGAATATAGAACGGATCCTAAAATAGGCCCTACAATTAAAGAAACTATAAAAATACAAATTAACAATTAAAATTAAAAAAACGAAGGAAATAGAAAAAACGTTTAAAAATATAAATTAGTATATTTAATTATATATATAAAAAACCCAGCTAAAGCCGGTAACTACCAAACTGGAACGGAATTGTATTAGAATTAATAAAAAGCCGACTAAACATATACTAAACGTATTAAAGGTAGTTCCGGAAGAAAATTAAATTACAATTAAACTAGGAAAATCGGAGAACCAATTACTCTACATCGCTACCATCCAACATTACATTAACATCGCTATAAACCTTAACCTCCTTAAAATTATAATTATTTTCCAAATTGGAACTTCTATTATTATTTTTATTAAAATTTTCGGTAATAATACTAGTAAATACCGTTTTTATATTATAACAGGGCCGGATAAAAGCCGAATTATCGACCGGACTTATAATTAAAATATAATTATAAATATTACAAATAATTTATTTAATATTAGAAAATTATATAAAGGAAATTAATAAAAGTACTAATATAGGAATAATACAAATTATTTATAACGGAAAAATAAATATCGAAACTATTTTATTTAATACAGACTATTATTATTCCCTTACTAATATATACAATATCGATAATAATTATATTAATTTTATTAGAAAGAAGGCGGACGGATTCCTCAACCTTTACAATATAAAAACAAATTATAGTAATATTGTTATAAAATATAGTAAAATCTATAAAAATATCGATAGTAACGTAAGTGAACTTTCTCTTTTTAATAGGAAATTTAATTACAATTATTAAATTAAAAATTAGGAAATTACTAATAAAGGAAGGTTCAACACCAACGCAATCCACTATAACCTACACAGCGGCCACAGCTTCTACTTTACTAATAAAAACCTTAAAATCGCCCTTTATAGTATCGTAACTACGTAGAATCGTAACAGCCTCGATAAAGGTACGTATTAAAAAAATAAGTTTAACGTCCGGGTATTCCTCGGTCCTCTTTTATAATTAATATTTATAATAAGGAATAAAAGGACGGACTATTTTATAAATTAGAAATAAAAATACTATAATAATAATATAAATATTTATAAGGATTTTAAAAATACTAAACTTAATTAAAAATAATTTTAAAAGTAATTATATCCTAATAAATTAAAAAGAGGGTATATTAGAACTTATAAGTATAAACTTTATACTATTTATAATTCGTAGGAATTTAAAAGTACCCTATAATAATACCTTTCTTCTCTAATATTTCCTTTAATAAATATTTCTAAATTTTTTTAAAGGTAACAGGTTTAATAAGAGCATTATTATATAGCGAACTAGCGGGGCTGATATTAAGAAGTACTGTATTCGAAGTAGCGCTGCTTTCTAAATTATTAGGGGAAATTATAATTTTTATAACTTTAACCGCTTTTAAAGTAAATGTTTTTTTAGCAGCGCTATTAAGTTTCTTATACAATATTATAAAATAGTAGTAATATTAATTTAAGTTAAATATAAGCGAATAGTAGTAATAGATTCGGTTAGAATACGGATATAATATAGCGAAGGCGGTAATATAGTATAAGGAAGAAAAAAGGGAAGGAAGGAAAGAGCTAGGTCGAAGTTTTCTTTATAGAAATATTTAAGTAGCCCGGAATAATATAATTAAGGAAAGATAGGATAAAAGACCGCTAACCGTAGAAAAGTTACGGTAGGAAGACGAAGGAAGGATAGTTATAGGCCGGAACCGGGTCGGTTACGTATATAATATAAGTTTATAGCTTCGGTTATAACGGTAAGGTTATACCGAGAGGAAGGAAATCGGGAAGGTACGGAGCTAATATAGCGCTGTTGCGATAGCAAAGCGGAGGGTTTTTACCCGGCTATTACGGTACGGTTTTTCCCACTGACTACGAGCGAAGTAGCACCGCGTGCCTACTGGGCGGACTATGTATATAGTTAGCGTGTATAAGACTAATAATAATATATTCGGATTTTAAAGAAAATAGTAAAAGGGGGAAAGTTAATATAAAAAAAATAATTAAAAAAGAAAGCCCAGAGTAGGGGGAAGCGTAAGTAATAATAGTAAAAAATATTTACGAAGTTATTAAGGATAATGCACTTATTAGTATAAATTATAGCCGGGGAATTTATATTACGTTAAATATAAGTAGTATAGAAATAGGTACAGTAATATTCTAAATTAATAATAAAGATCTAATAAAGGAATATAACGAAAAAAAATATTAGAAGGATATTAAAATTAATATATTTATATCCTAGAACCTATTAAATATAAAATCCTACTATAATAACCCGAAGAGGGAAATATTAATAGTAGTAAGAATATTAAAAGAGACCCAATAAATAATTTAAATATTAGAATTCCTAATATATATTTATACCAATTATACTTTTATTATTAATACTATAAATATAAAATTAATAATTTATTTCAAAGTAGCAAAATAAATAAATATAGTAATAGAATTTAATATTAACTTCTACTACCGTCTAAATACGGATAAAATTATTAAAGTTATTAATAGTTTATTATAATTAACACCGAAATTATATAATCCTCTTAGGGCAAACTTAGGAAGAGAATTTCTAATAAGAGGAATATTTCCCGAACTAAATAATATTATACTTCTATTTTCCTTTATAAAAGAAAGTATTATAAATTTAAAATATTTTAAATTAGGAGGGTTAAAATAGTATAGTAATATTATTAATTAGTTTATTATAGGAAATAAAGGTTTAAAATATTATGAAAAGCCGGACTAAAGAAAAATAAAAAATAGAGTAATTTATTTCTATTTATTAGAAAGGAAGTTACTAGGGTTTAATATCAATGATATTCTAATAGAATATATAATTCTTAAAGAATAGGAATAAATTCTACGAAAAATATATAACAGTTATAAATATTATTTAATAGAAATTATATTCCGGGAAATCCGGGGAAGATTTTAATAATTAATTAGGGTAATTAATATTATTAATTACTATTATACCTACTATATTTATTAATAATATTCGAAGAAGAAATTAGTAGTTATTTTAAGAGCTATTATAGTTTTTTAACCGATAGTATTATTCGGTATTAATTTTTTAGGCCTAATATCTCCGAAAGTAAAAGGAAAAGAGGAATATATTTTAATAAATATTAATTACTTTTCCTATTTTACTTTAACGGTAATATTAAAGGAGGTTATAATTTTAATAATTATTAATATATTATTATATATATAATTCCCAATCTTAAAATAGCCCTAATAAATATATTCGGATAATAGGAAATGTTTTTGAAATGAAGTATTAAAAGCTATCCTAGTTAACTATAGAATAAAAATATTATTTGGTTTAATAATAAACTTTAAATCGATAGGCCTAATAGAGAAATATATAGGATTGATCGTTAATTAATTACGGAAATAGGGAACGTTTCGGGAAGGGAGAAATTTCAAAATCTAGCTGGCCGTATTTTTATTTATAATTAGTAAATTAAATACTAGATTTATATTAAATATTAATATAATACCTTCTAAAGCAATATTAGGGTTTCAACCGGAATATATTAAATTTACTAACGAAATAACTAAATAATATAAAATTTTACAAGAAGAATTAATTAAAGACGGAGAATCCTTTAATAGAATATTTACTTTTATTAGTAAAAGAAAAGAGGATAGAGTTAAGGTAGAGGATAGGTATATATTAAAAGTAGCAAAGAATAGTAATAAGGAGCTAAGGAGGCAATTCGAGGTGGGAGATTGGGTTTAGGAATAGAATTAGGATAAATCTTATTTAAAATTCAAATTAATATAGGTAGGATTATAAGTTATAACGGAAGTTGTAATACTATAAATATATAAAGTAAAGTATATTAATAGTAAAGGAGTAAGAAGGAAGTTATATATAAATTATATTAAGGAATATTAAAGGCGTATAGAATAGACGGAAAAAAACTATTTACAAAATATAAAGGAGGTAAATATAATATTATTTAAAGAATTAAAGAAATAGACCGCTAAAGAGACTAGGATTGAAGAGGGGATTTCGCTTTATTCGGAAATCTAGGTTAAAGGTATTTAGATCTAAAACGATAGGGGTTCTTAGTAGAGGAGTCTTATTTCGGGGACGAAGCTATTTTGAGAAGGGTTGGGAGGGTGCTGAGACCCACTTGTTGTGTGTCACGTGAACTGACAACTCTTCACCTATTTAAGCTAGATCGGGTGGGGTGCTTCAGACCCAATCCTCTTCTTCTGCTCTTTAGCCGACTTTTGACTAATGAGAAATCATCACTTTTTAGAAGACATGCAAATGTGGCTTGTATGGAATCCAAAAGGGCGATTTCTTTTCGGGAATGCAGATGTTGGTGCAGGAAATATATTAAAGAAGGCATCCAGAAGTGGTCGATAATTCTGACTCCAAGGTCTTGTACCTTTTGGAGACTCCTTCTTGGGTCGTCTTGGTGTCGTTTGTGGCTAGGTGTTTTCTTTGGCAAACTCTCTTTTAGGAAGAAAGCTGGACAATGATATTGATTATTCCAAGCATTGGCCGCACTTCCCGAGAGGCTTATGCTGTCATGCTCATTAAATCCGTCAGGTCGTTAGTTTGTGCGACCACCGCATTGTCGTGATTGAGTGTATGATGACTCTCTCTGTGAGCGCGAATGTCAGGGGGAGGAATTGGAAAAGGTGAGTTGAATCGTTTGATTGGTGTGGCAGGGCACCGTCGCCGTCGTTGTCGTCGTCGTCGTCGGATGTGCAATGGGGGTGAAATATTGTCCGGGGCTAGGCCGGGGATACCGATAGCAGCGATAAACGACTTCGCTAATGTCTGACGACTGACCATGACGACCTTGTCGATATTTCGCCGTGATAATTTGAGGAGCGCGGTGGACGAGCCTGGACAAGTCTTTGACTGGCGGGAAGTGGGCAAGATCTGCCGTTTTGTATATTCCCCTGACGGGGTTCGGGCCTGCTGGTGGCCTGTTGCAAGATTGGCAATACCTTTTTCGGGACTCGGCAGTGGAGTTGAAGAAAGTCTCGGGAGCTTGACTCTGAACTCCGGGTTCCATTCCAGAGGGGAGCCTGAGGTTAACCCCACGATCAGGATTTTGGAAACTTTCTCTCCACTGTTCGTTCCGTACCCACATTCCTTGCGATATCCCCGGCTGGCCGAACCAAGCGTCGGTACCGGCATCGGTCTTTTCCTTTGATGGTACGGATGCGGTTTCCACTTTGTCCAGTTTTAGAAGCCCGTGCCGTGGTGGCTTCCATTCTTGCGAGACCAACATCCTCCCGGGTTACCGACACGAGTTGAGAGTATGCCAAAGCAAGCAAGCAAGGGAATCCAGAGAAGCTGATGCACGTGCGCTGATAAACCCTTCCTCTTGCCTTGTGATCGGCATCGACAGTCACTTGATGGAATGGACGGCGGGACTGCTCCCAGCCGACGAGGGGTGTCGTGTCTTGTCTGTGGGAAGACGTTGGAAGGACAAGCATCATGCCGGGGGAAAACAGAGGTTCATCTGAAGTTGGCGTGTAGAGGGGACGTGAAAGGGACATCCCGAGATTGGTTTTCGCTGGTGCGTCGCTCGTCACCGTCGATCAATAATGGCACCTTCTCCAGACTCCGCATTGGCATGACTACCTACAAAGCAGCTGCAGGTCCGAGCACCACGCTGCGCCCGGATCATGATAACGCAATGCTACCCTGAGGTTTTTGTCGACGACGCCGACTGTCTCCTGAACAAGCCGAACTTTGCTTAGTTGTTTCGAGTATCAATAGTGGCGAATCTACAACGGCGAGCTTTTCTTTTTTTTTTTTTTTTTTTTTTTTTTTTTCTTCTTCAAGCCAGACGCATTTCATCTTTAGTGGTTAATGTTTGTTTCAATGACGATTTTGAACATTTTCTCTGCCAGGGGAAAAAGGACGAGACCACTCAGTCACATTGAGGTACCTGGACGTAGGGCAGGCACAGGACAGCCCAGGCACAGACAGGCTCACAGGGTCTCGAGAGTCGGGTGTGCAAGGGGGCCCCTGCCGTCTTCAAGCTAATGGTCCACCTTTGCCGGCTGGAGTGACTAGTGATCGATCCGTAATTTCTGACTAGCGGTAAGTACCATAAATATGGTAAATTCCATGTAAAAATGCCCATTTTTACCATTTTTACTTGATCATGTGATTGAAATCCGGTTTTTTGCTGTCAGACTAGCCACCCAGACAGGGTAAAAATCGCGCAATTTGTGTAAAATCGATTAATCTATAAATAAATGCCAGCGCTGGATATTACTATTATTCTAGTATTTCTGAGCCTTCTGGAGTAAAGTATAAATATTATATTTCGTAACTATCTCCCTAATTCTGTATACCTTTATTAGGCTCCCTCCTCCTCCCTCCTATTGTCTTGATCGCCGTCTTATATATGTTTATATAGCTGCTCCTCGATTTGTAATAGTAGGTTATCCCTATTTACTATAGAAAGCCCGGTAAAAGATTGCTGGAGGTTTCTAAGCTTCCTTCTATTTATATAAATAAATGTAGTTATATTTATTTTATTAGTATTAAAGCGGTTACGCCTCGGATTCTCTAGAAAGTTTATGGTAGAGAAGGCTCGCTCGTATAGTATATTATTAGCTAGTATACTAAATACCCTTATAGTAAGGGGGGTAATAATTGAACTTTATTTAACTAGTATACTTTAGAAATTTATAGGATTTATATTTCTATACTCCTAAATGCGTTGGTTTAGTACGTATATCCTATAGCGAGTCCTAAACTATAAGAAATCCTATACGAACCGCTCCTCTATAACGTTATATAAAGTACGAGTATATAGTTTAATAAAGTCTAAGATTGAGGTAGTGAGGTTGGCGATGGGGGGACGAATATTGGCTGCTGCTTTTTATATAGTATTTTAGTGTAAGAGGTAGTTAAATTAGTTTAGGGGAATTAATTATTATTATTATTGTAGTATAAATAATTATTCGAATTTATACTAGTTATTATTATAGAGGGATATATAGTCGGCCTCCTAGGTAGTCTATATGGTATTTTAATGAGGGATGATGTAATTAACGGTCGCTCTATTTACTTCTGATATTAACTGGGCTTTATAGAGTGGTTTTATAAACTTCTCGAGAGTTTCGAGACTATATTAGAAATTAGTATTGTTAATAATATTGAATAATGATTCTATTTTAATTGGTTCGTCTTATTGTATTATAGGGAGTATAGGGAATATAGTTGGGAATAAATTACTTTATTGGAGTTAAGGGGGGGGATAGGGGATGCGGGGGGGTTCTTAATATTAATAATTATTTATACGGGTTTACTATATAAATGCTTTAAGTGTAGGCTTTATATATTGTACTGACTGTAGAGATTTGTATTGTGAACCCTATTTTGTAATTATATTAGTTCGATTAATTAATAATATAAATAAAGGGATTAAGAGATTACTTTAATAGTTTCTAATTTACTTTGCTAGTATAGAGATGAGTTTACTATAGTATATTATTATTAACTTTCTAAAGTGGGCTAATTGTAGCTTCGATATATAAAAGAAGTTTATAATAATAGAGATTTAATAATTTAATATTCGAAATAGTAGTAAAGAGACTAAATCTTTTATTAATAGCTATAGTGAATAAGAATTGTATAATATTGGAAATACCTAGTTAAAACGCCTAATTATAAATTCGAATATTACCCGTTGGGCTATAGTATACGTATTGGTAATAAAGCTATTGATTTTAGTTGTAATATTAGTTATTGTATTATACGCTTTTGAAATTATGTTGGCGAAGTTTATAGAAGTATATTCGGTAGTGTTTATATAGCGGTTAGATTAGAAGAAAGTACTTCTATTGTTAGGTATCGAGAAGGATATATTAATAATTCGTTTACCGGCGTAGTTATCTAATTTATTAAAGAATATATTAATATAATTAACTCTATTAATATATTTTTCTTTTATTTCTACCTTTATTTAATTATAGATGAGGGGTAGCTAATTATTTATAATAGAGGCCGAATTAGGAGGGATATATAAAGGGTTAAGAGAGTAGAGGAATACCCGTATAGAGGATAATTCGAATAAGTTGAATAGTCGGCCGTTGAGAAATATAATTTTAGTAGCGTGTTAATTAACCTTCTTTACTTGCGCGGTTGTTAGGGAGACGGTGTAATTGCGTATATCTTTATAGTATTTAATTTGCTAGTGGAGGCGGTGATTTCGGTATTATTAATAATTGTTATTAAAGTGGTTGTGTAAGTGGGTAATGTTGAATGCGCCGGTCTATTTGTAGTGCGTGTAGGTAGTGGTCTGGTATGTGCGACCGGGGTTATCTCGTAGAATAAATTAATTAACGATATGTTTATTTCGACTGTTTTGTATTGGGGGTATAGTATTGAAGGGTTGAAGCTGGCTGGCGATAGGGGTTGAAACTAGGAATCTGTAAAGCTCGTCGATATACTAAATAGTTGAGAAATAGCCCAGTTGTGCCTAGTCGATTGTTCAGTATGGGGTGCACGGACTATTGAATTAGCGGTAAATTCAGTAAAGATGTAATTACTTGAAAAAATGCTCAATTTTCAGAATCGATCGATCTCTAGGAGTAACCCCATTTCACTAAAGTGGGTGGGCCTTGGACACTGGGCATCCCCAATCTCTCTTGAGGTGCCTCTCTAGCTCTACACTACATTTTTATCCCCGCTGGAGGCAGGAGCACCCGGCACAAGCAGAAAGAGAAGGAGAGAGATGGGAGGTGAGAGGCATCAAGGGAAGGCACGGCTTGGGATCATAGGCACCAACAACAATGAGCAGACGGAACAAACAGTTCACGATACGATGACAGGCTCAGAACGAACAATACGAACTGTTAACATATTCCCGTGTAGCGAAATGTCATGGAACAATGAAGAGCCAAAAGAGTCAGGGAGAGCTTGGGCTAGCTTGACTAGCGCCAGGTCCCGTCCCGGAAATCAATGCTGTTATTGGGAGGAAGGGATCCTCAATCTCCATTTGCGCTGGAGCAATTATAGGTCCCGAAGTGGGTGAAACCAAACCGTTGCTGGACCCTCTTAACCCTCCGGCTTAACCCCCGAGCTCCCGTACACGTAACCTGGGCCGGGCTCCCCCAAAAAAACACAGGCAGGGTTGCAGTAGCAGAGTCAGGAACTTGTGGAATCTTAAATTCAATGAGGCAACGCCGTCGAACAAGGCAAAAGAGGTAAATGCCCCGATCCCCCGGCTTTTGAACCGGACGCCGCCCCTGAGCGAGGAGTTACTTGCAGCTTGTCATCTCGTTCATTTCTCATCTTCCACCATCATCACCGTCATCGCCGTCGTTGTTCACCCAGCTTCCGACAGTCCGTATCGCCAATCTCGATTCCGAGACACTCTCGGGTAGCTGGCACTGGGGAGGCCTTGTAACGAAACGGTACGGGAAAAATACATCATTGGCCACTGACAGATTGGGACTGTTCAGTTACGAAAGGCCGGATCTGGATTTCATCTCTTTCCTTTCTTCCATTCCATCTTTCAGTTCCTCTTTCCCGCACCGGGACCCTTTCGACCTCAGTTTGACTTATCATCCCTTTCGAACTGTCTATCACACGGCCATAACACCATCATCCGTTTCGTACCTCTTCATTTTTGATCCATCCGTTATTTCTCAATTTGCGCCCTTGCGTTATCCGTCCGCCCTCTTTCGGTCATCAGCCAGTGGATTTATGTGTAAATTCAGCACAGCATCACCCACCTCGTCCACCCATTTTCGAATTTGAGTTCGGAAAATATCTCCTTGACTTTACACAACAGAATCGGCAGCCAGGACTGATTGGTCCATCATCTCAAGGTGCGTAGTTCCATTAGTCGTCACAAGGTCACACGGGGCACATTTGGGTCAGTCTGGAGGAGGGGAGTCCGGGACATGTTATGTTGGCAAATACATGGAACCCCCAAGGATGAGGAAAAAAAAAAAAAAAAAAAAAAAAAAAAAAAAAGGCCAACGGCTGGCTGCCTCGTCTGCTTGCATCCCGCCTGTTTTGTGTCGGTGCCGCAGAAGAGGAAGCATTGAGAGATGATGGGATATGGTTGATGGTTGCATGGCTATCCGAATCTCCCGTTGTTGTTTCGTTGCAGAGGACGTACACGTCCAGGGTAGATTCCTTTCCTCTTCCCAACACTCAGCCATGTTTGTTGCATCCAGTGCCGCTTGGTCGCATCTCTGGTGTACGGACTGAGGTTGAATTTGGGGTTGGCACGGCAGCACCGAGTTGTTCTACCTTGGCGCCATCTTACACCATCTTCCTGATGCCCAAGCCATACATTGGCTATATACTACTCCTATACTCCCATACTCCCATCTTCATACCCTCCCTTTCCCGCCAACGTGTTTCAGCCTCAGCGCCGTATCCTCCATGCCTCTTCCATCTTATACGTCAACAGCTCTATGTCAATGAGTAGCTCAACTGACGAATCAGCGCACAAAAGCAGCCTCCCGCACGCTCACCTGCGAGATATATCGCCTCTTCTGGATACTTCCTGGCCTCCTGGTCTCACCCTACCACCC